AAAATGAGCGCCCAGATAGAGTCCTCCTTTTTTACAAGGACTCAAAATTTAATCTGGCCTAGCTCAGTTGGAACACCCCTCCTGAACTTCTGAAATGCAGACTCCAGTTTGAGCTTTTTTTTTTTTTTTTTTTTTTTTGGAGAAAGGGCGGCAGTCTTGAGATACATCCGCAGGTTGCAATCTGAATTGACCGTGTTTTTTTTTTTTTTTTTTTTTTTTTTCCCGAGATTATTATGGAAGTTATTATTGTAGATTATATGTCATCATCATGACTTATTGAGCTTCCTTATTGAGCTTATGTTGTGACAGGTATCTTGAGAGTTTTTTTTAAGCCTCTGGACATATCCTGAAATTGAGGGCCTCAACCCTGATAAGCATCGTAATTATGAATGTCAGCTACAATGATGATTCTGACTGAGTACTCAACCTGAGAGCTCTTTTTATTGGGTGTGTCCTGACCAGCCGCAGCAGGACCAGATCAGCCACTTCCACTTGCAACGGGTCACAGGGCGGCACAACTCACCCCAGCGAGTCACTGGAAGCAGATGAGTAAAATTATGACAATTCACAATTACCAAGGATGATCAACCTGCTTGTTTTTTTCCTTTTTTTTTTTTGTTGTGAAATGGGCACAGGGGCCACAGGTATATGATGCACCCACTAAGTCCCCACTGAGTGTCTCCTGACACCTGGAGGGAGATGCCACTACGGATGTATGTGGATTAGTGTTTAAGGTGTGTGACTGTCAGGCATCGTGGATTTGGCAGGAAATGAGCGGTAGCCTGGTTTTGCGAATTAAGCCTGGGAAAAGGATGTTTTCTTTTGGTCTCCAATTGGTAGTTTTTCCTTTCGTTTTTGTTTTTGGGGTCCGGTGGCTGTCCCAAACGTGCGTGAAATCACAACCAATTTTTTTGGTTCGTGAAATCACACACATTGCACTCACGCCGAAAGAAAAGACGAATGGCTTCATCGCTGGAAATTGATTGTGGTTTGGGAGGTGTTTGGGAGGGTTCGATCCCCTCACCTACAGCAAATGGTGTATGGAGTTACTCTTGCCCTCCTTCGCCAAAGAGAATTTCTGTCAGAACAACCGAACAGAGTGCACTGCGGCCCATTTCAAGGAAGCCTCAGACTATTGTCAATGAACATGGTCCGTGTGCCCAGTCACATGCAGTCGTCTTGACTGCCACAACCATGGTCAGTGAATCATACCCTGACATCTGACACCCCGCCTGGAGCAGACACCATCTGTGAGAAGAGCACTTCCTTTTCCTTTTTCGCAGTTTTTTCTTCATTTGTGCATTTATTTTCTGTATTTCACGCTGCCACCCCACCTGTCCCCCACCCGTCCCCCACCCGTCCCACACCCGTCACACTAATCCGCATACATGGCTAGTGGGATCTCCCTCCTGTAGAGAGGCAAGATGGTACGCAGAGGAGGCTACTATGTGCATTTCCTCCTACCATACTACCGTGGCCTGGCCACTATGTGTACTCCGTGCTAAATGCCATGACCTGTTCCCGCTTTCCAGCAGGTGCTGCTCCCCACCAATGGAGTGGAGCAACCGGTGGCAGCTGCACTAGGGGAAGATGCTCTTACCCCGCCACCTCTGTTTAAAAAAAAGAGAGAAAATTTAAAGAGAAAAACAAAAAACATTGAGATAGGGACGCTGGACCCGTTTTCCAGCAGGTGTGGCTCCCCACTAATAGATTGGAGCAACTGGTTAAAAAAGAAAGAAAAAAAAAAGAAAAGAAAGAGAGAGAGAGAGAGAGAGAGAGAGAGAGAGAGAGAGAGAGAGAGAGAGAGAGAGAGAGCTAAGACGGAGACAGGACTGGATGACTTCACACTGAATCACTTTGTGCGAGAGGGAAGAGTAAGAAAACCCAAGCACAGGTCTTGCTCAAAATGTAAATACATGAAGTGCGAGTGATCTGGTGAAAGACGATACCATGGTAGAGTTCAATGTAGGTGTCCAGAAGGCCCATGTCTGTGACGAACCACTTCCCGAACCCGTGCTATCTTTCGTACCCCTTTTTGCTTGTATCATACCAACCCCATAAAAACCCCGTTTCGTTTTCTTGATTTTGGGTACCACGTTTTTGGCTCCTATCTTTCGGAAGCTTTTTCGACTTCCGGGTTCTGCTTTTCCTTTCTGCAATTCGGGAAATACATAGGAAATTATGTGCGCCTTAGCGAGCGCACTGGGAATTGGGCTCGGCAGTTGGGAATTCCGGGATAAGCGGAACTTCGACGTGTCCTTTTCGTGTGTGTGAATGTTCTTGGTCGCGTCGGGGAGAACTCTCGGAATATTGCGTGAATACAAATAGGCGTAGGATTTTGTTTTCCCGCGTCGCTTTTTCTCGCGTGGATATGGTGATTTCAATTTTGAATTGGTTTAGGACAGAGGCAAGCTGTAACTGTTTCGGTGCCTTTTTTTCTCTTTTTTGGTTGACGGCGCCACACATGCAAGAGCTTAAAGTTTCTCCTCTCTGCCCCCCCCGCATCGCTCCCTCTCGCGCTCCCTTCCCCTTCTCCCTCCTCTTTCTCTCTCCCCGTAACTGTTTTCTTTCTCTCTCTCTTTCTCCCGCTCTGCTCTTTGCGCGCCCATTTCCCTTTCTTGATCATCTGAATCTTGGACCCGTCTTGCGCTACTTCTCGCCCCTTTTCTCTTCTCACCCTCTGAGTCTAACTCACGACGCCCGGTCGATCCGTCGATAACTCCCGCTCGCCAATCAGGTGCGTGGATCAATAGGATCTTCCTATTGCGCGACGAATCTGATTGGTTGAACCTTGAGTTCCAAGGGATCAACATGGCGTTCACAGAGCACTCTTCTCAAAGTCTTCTCCTCCTGCTTCTCCTTTTACACCTCAGCTTTCCCGTCGCCTTCTCCCCCGTCTGTCTCCCTTGTCGCAACTATAAAACCCGCAAGCGCGCCCGCAAATCTCTCTTACGTTCTCGACTCTCAAGCCAGCTTCCGGGAAGCAGTGGCTAGACAAAGTGTTTGGTGCGATTCGGAAAGTCCTGTCGGGCTGACGATAGGCTGGCCGGTTGCGCGCTGGATCTCCACGACGGACTGTGGGATCTGGGCGAACCGTGTCGAGTCTATGACAGCGGGGTGACGATCGCAGTGGTGGGAGTTAGCACGCGGCGGCCGGGACCGTCGGTGCGGGTATGAGGATCGATGATTGGAGTTGAGTGAGTGATTGGCCCAGGGCCATACTAGAATTAACGGTGAATGCGCCTTTGTTGTTGCGGATCTTTATCTCTGGTGTGAGTGTACGGTGCCTACGCCGATCGCCCCTCTTTCATATCTTGTCCCCCCCCCCCCCCCCAATCTCGACTCTCCCTCCTCACCTCCCCCTCTCCTCTCTGTCTTTGAATAATGATGTGTCTCGATGCTTCTCTCTTTCTCTCTCTCTTTCTCTCTTTTGGATAAACATGAATCTGTGTGCTTCCCTTGCGTGAAAGAACTTCTTCCGGAACTCTTCCATTAGTTTCCTGGGTAATCCTGCTACGCAAGGACCCCGTCTTCTTGTCTTGTGAACGGTGAATGCGTGTGTACTATGCAAGCGATCAATTTTTTCCTGTGCATGGCTCATTTTTCGCACCTTCCACAGTGGATGTATGTATGGAGATGTGTGACCCCCTTTTTTTTGCGTTGATTAGACGATTATCGTCGGGATTTTGTTCGAGAATGCAAGAGTGTTTAGATCTGTAGATCTGAATGTACTGCACATGCCATCTGCCTTATGCTACACGACATTAGCAGCCGAACTACGGGGCGGCCTCGAGAAACAAGGCGTCGGGGATCAACGTCGCGCTGGCTCACTAAACCTGAGTCGCGGATCGGTTCCTTAGTTATATGCATGATCAAGTTGCTGAAGTGTCTTCTTTCGCTCTCTCTCTCTCTCTCTCTCGTGTTGAAAGGGATTGTTTGTGAGTTGCGCGAGTGTTTTCTTTTCTTGATGACGTCGCAAGGTTTTTACAATTGATTGATATGTGGACTGACCAGTGCCCTCCGATTGGGCACCAGCCTCCCGTACCTCCTGTCCCAACACGGCCTTTTCCCTACAACGAGGGAAGGACACGTGTATGTGAGTGGGATGTACGAGAAGCCACGGAAAATCGTTGTTCAGGGTTCGTAGAGGCTGGGTTTGTCATTATCGATACGCACTTCCCACCTTACTCGATATTGTTCCCATTCAACGAGTTGATCGTCATCCCGTGGACGGCAGTAGAACCTCACTGGCCACGCACTCTATGCACCGAATGCTAGCGTTTTGAGCGCTACGAATCCAGGGGTTTCCACTACCGTATGCGGAGTGAAGACGAGCATAAAGAAAGAGCCACGCGGCTGAGACCATCCACGTCGAACTCGGAACTGACCAGCGAACGACGACGAGATTTGATACGAAAACGAGACACGCGGAGCGTGCCAAAGCCTTTGCTTTCTAAACGACGGGCTGTAGCCCGGTGGGAAGCCCGACAATACTTTTTGGATTGAATTTATATTTTTCTCTTTTCGCGCCGTGCCCGCGCGCGCATTCCGCGACGCGCGAAAGCAATCGACTTGCTTCATTGGACCAACACGGGGGATTTCAGTTCCATCTGTGTCCCCACACTCAATTTCCAAAAATCCTTGGCACACCCCATCTTGCTGTTTTTCTGGGCCTCTTTTCGCACGCCTAACACTCCGAACGAAAGACAGCACAGGGCGTGAGGTTGGTATCCGAACCGACACGTGTCGGTTTTGATGATAGTAAGTCGAACTGGCGAGAGCTAGGAGAGGCCCTCAACTAGCTCATCGGGATCGCCCAGTGACCAGGTCTCGGTCTGGTGCGGCCGAACCCGAAGCCGGTGAGCCTGAGGCTGCACGAATAGCAGCGATCTCTTTAGCAGAAAAAGATCACTTCGTACGAGCTCGACCGATACTATGGAAGAGCGCGGAATGTGATTGCGAAGTTTGGGGCAAGCCGTTTAACGCTCTTATCGACACGGGGTATTCTGCAATAGCCATATCATTAGATACTGTCAGAAAGATGGGACGACTCGGGTCCATTCTTCCTCAATCTGGCAAAGACAATTATGTCTCCACCGACGAAGAAGCAATGAATATCGTAGACATTATTGAGAATGTGGCTGTAAAAGTCGGACGAGTACACGTCCTTGTCAATGCGCTCGTGATAGAGGTACGTTCCTATTCTGTGTTGTTGGGACTACCTTGGGCGATGGCGGTGGGCGCACGATTGCATTTCGATTCAAAACAACTGGTGCTCACTCAAACTGGGGGAAAACCTCAAACTGTTCCTTTGCGAATTTCCACCCGAACGATAAAACGAACCCCTAACTCGGCCCAAATAGGGATGATTCGATACATTAATCCCGAGGAGTGTTCTTCCTCAGATATCGATAGTAGAATCAGGGAACATGAATACGAAAAAGAGCTGCCTAGCGAAGACGAATGGAAGCACTTGGTTGAACTTTTCGAACACGAAATTCCCGAAGAATTCCAAGTGTGCCCCGACCCTGCCCGAAGCTTCCACGTGGATTCAGGAGACAGCGCGCTTGCGCCTTCGATAACCCCAGTTAGTCCTTCAGTCCTGCTTGGGGAACCCATATTACAAGTATCTGACCTGGCTGATGATTTGGAACCCCCTCGCACCTTGTACGAAGGAGCTCTCTCCTTACGAACGCGTTATCAACAAACGGAACAATATTTGGATGTTTCTGTTTTCCCGCCCAGATAGTTACTAACAACAGGAGTCACCATCGCTTTGATTAAACAAGAGGCGGAAGCACCGGTAAGTGATGTACCTGATCTGATGCAAGAAATGATGGATCTAACGGGGCTAACTGTGGAACTGGCCTCGGTTGGTTTGAAGATTGATGCTGAAACTAAAGAAACAGAGATGATCAGCCCCGCTGAGTCCCAGATGATAGCAACTGTCTTCTCTGTTCGCACCAGTAGTTCCTTTTCTCTAGTATCTATGATCGACGGGAACGACCAGTTGATTGGGTCGATATGCCCCTTAAGATTTCCGGGGAATCAACAATCACCCTATCGAGTTACGTTCCCGGGGAACTTCGGAAGTCGTTAATCTGTGTGTTAAATGGTTACGCAGAAGTATTGAGTATACACGATAATGACATCGGCTTAACTAATATGATCGAGCATGCCATTCTCACGGGAGACCATCCACCCATTAGCTGCATTCCTTACCGATACTCGCCAGCTCAACGAGCGGCCGCTTTTCAACGGATTAAAGAATTCGAAGCTAATGGATGCATGGAACCCGCCATAGGTCCCTGGTTTTTTCCCGTAGTAATCGTGCCTAAAAAGGCCGGAGGGATTCGCATTTGCATTGATTATCGAAAGTTGAATGATATCACGATCAAAGATGTGTACCCCCTCCCCTGGATTGATGAGTTGTTGGATGCGATTGGGAGTGCTCGATTTTTCAGCGAGTTTGATGTTCGCCATGGGTTCCATCATCTTCTTGTTCGAGAAGAAGATCGTCCGAAAACAGCGTTTGTACTTTTCGAGGGTACGTGGCAGTGGTCCAGTGGGTTCGATGTCCGATGGGTATCTGCAACGCTCCCGCGACCTTTCAGCGGGCCATGAACATGGCTTTTCAGAATTTCGTGAGAAAGACTCATTTGGCGCAGAGCATCATCAACTACTGCGTGATTGTGTACATGGATGATATCTTGGTGTATTCGAGTTCCTATGAGGGACACGTGCAACACATCGAATGGGCACTGCACGCGTTACGAGATGCGGGCTTCAAGGTGGCGCTTGAGAAGTGTCGGTTTTTCCTCACCACCATTTCCTTTCTAGGGCACGTGGTGAGAGACAAGGGACTCTAGCCGGAGCCGGAGAAGGTGGCAACTGTCAGGGATGCGTCGGTGCCTACAACTATCACGCAAGTTCGCGCCTTTCTGGGCCTGGCCTTGTACTACCGAAGATTTATCAAGGGCTTTGCGGCGATTGCGGGACCCCTCACGAATCTGCTGCGCAAAGATCAGCCGTTGATCTGGACGCCGGAATGCGATCAAGCGTTTTCCAAACTCAAGGCCTCTCTCATTTCGGCTCCAGTCCTTATAAGACCGGATCCCGAAAAGCCTTTTGTTCTCATCACTGACTGGCAGCCAGAGGCAATTTCGGCGATCCTTGCCCAGGTGGGACCAAACGGACTCGAGAATGTGGTGAAGTATGCGTCCAAATCGGTGCCCGCTTGCAAGGGCAACTACGCCGCTCCAACGGGGGAATGCTACGCGGCTCTCTGGGGAATCAGCCACTTTCGCGCTTACCTATACGGGCGAAAGTTCACCTTGGTAACGGATCATTAGCCCCTGTTGGCTTTGAAGAAATCGAAGGATTACTTGGGCATGATCGGGCGATGGGCAACGGTGCTGCAGAGCATGGACTTTGACATTCGTCATCTGAAGCATGAGAGACACGGGAATGCGGACGGACTGACACGACTGCACCGGCCTGAGAAAGTTCCGAAGAGTGAGGAGGTGATTCCGTGGAACGAACCCGAACATCGAACCTCGGTACGACCAAGTGGAGATCCTGTCGAAGCCGTAAGTGGCACGAGGACTAATTCTCTCCACAATTCAGTCCTATCTCTCCTCCTCTGTCATCATGACTACCCCGCTTGCCTCCGCAACCCCTTCATTTCCTACCAATTTTGCCCCTCTCACGTACTCAGCTTTCTTTGCCACCCTCCCCGATAAATTTTGTTATTTTTGCACGTGCATTGCACGGGTCTATGGGGTCGACTGTCATCCTTTCGAAACCGGGTTTGTCGACTGGGTAGAATGTGCCACGTGTGTCAATCGTGCGCACGGGGCCTGCGTTCGATATCGGACGAGTAGCAAGGAATGGAGGTGCCCCCTGTGTAGAACGAACAAACTCCCCACGGAGGTTCGATTCGAGGCCGCCCGTACGGACGACCCTGAATACGACGAAAAATATCGACGAGCGGAGGTTTGGACGGATAAAATTTTATTGGCAAATTAGCGGGATTATCATTGGGTCACCTCACCAAACACGGCAGACATAGGGCGACCGAGAGATCTCGAGACTATCGATGGGTCAACGGTCATTTGGAAAAGCATAAAACTGACGGATCGGGTTCGTGGTTGACGGTTCCTCATCCATTCCAGAGATATGATTGGATCCGATCTGCTCACGAAGAACAGGCCGCTCATTTCACGATACGTGTCATGGATGCAACTGTAGATCAGAACCGATGGTTCTGGTCCAATATACGAGATGATGTCACATACATTGTCGCTAACTGTCTGGTCTGTGCCGCTGATCGCGGCCCTATACGGGGACCAAACACGATCGTACCAACGGAAGTAGAGCGTCCTTTCTAGCGAGTCAGTATGAACATGACAGATATCGATGTGCCACCTGGCCCAAACCGCTGTGAATATTCTATCCTGTTAGTATTAATAGACTATTTTTCCAAATACATCGAAGTCTATCCCTGTAAGACCCGAAAAGCCGCAGAAATAGTCAAGTACATCGAACGGTTCCTCTATACCCATCTAGATACGAAAGAAATTCTGACCGACAATGGGTCTGAATTCAAGGGTGAGGTAGAAGAACTGCTTGCGCGAAGGGGCGTCACGCTCCGACATACGGCACCCCACGTGTCCCAGTCGAACTGGTTGGCCGAAAATGCCAACCGTATGATTAAAACCGCCCTTCGCAGGAACTTAGCAGCACACGACACGCGTCCTTGGCCCGAGATCGTATATCAGATTGTCGGGATCCACCGGGCCACCCCTCACGAGTCCACGGGGCTTACCCCTTTTCAGCTTCGAACTAATAGCCTCCCCTGTGTCGACTACCGGGGTAACTCGGAAATTGCCGAAGCAGGGGGTAGAGACACGCGTGCAGCTCTCAAGGCCAAGGCCAAAAGGTACACCAAATTAATGGAACAGGCTGTCCCGAAGCTAGCCCGAAAAAGGCAAAGGATGACCGAACTGGCCCACGGTAAACAGGTCCGTAGCTACGAGGCTCGGAATGGAAATGTTGGGCCCCAACATCAATATAAATTAGGGGACCTAGTGCAGGTACGTAAATGTGCACGCGACCGGAAATTCGCTCCCAAGTTTTCTGGCTGTTTTCGCGTTGTCGAGCTCGGACCCAACGGCGCCAACACGGTGCGCATCGCGCCTGAGGATAGTGCCAGCCATAACTCTGTCCCCATCGTCCGAAATACCTCCTTCCTCCATCTTCTTCCTCCTTCTGATCTTCCTCCCTCTTCTTCCTCGGAAAGCGAGGAGAACGACGACGATCTAACTCTCTCTCCTCTTTCTCCCTCTTGTCCTTCGTCCTCCTCTCCGACCTCGCCATGAGTCTCATCACGGAGCAGGTGTCCAACGTGTGGCAGCACGTTCTCGCCCGGCCTGGGCACAATCTCATCCCGACCTTTGCGCCGGATCTTGGCGACATCCGCCGTTCTCCGCGCGAGCGGCCAGTTGTGATTCGCACCCTCGTCCCCTTCCCACATCCCCAATGAACCACGCCAATCCTCTCGCTCCTCTCTCTATCTTTGGTCTCCCCTCTCTCTTCCCCACCTTCTGGCAATCTGATCTTCATCCTTCTCTTTCCTTCTCATTCGAGCCTCTTTCAGTCCCTCTTATCAATCCTGGGCATTGGTGGCTGTGGCGCGAAACTTTTGAGGAGCTGTCTTTTTGCTTGGCCAGAGTACAGGTGACGTGGACGCAGACCAGCGAGCATCCTGCGTGGATCGAAAATCCGGAGCTGCTTATCATCCAAACTTGGAGGACTAACGTGGAGGGTGATCTTCTTGGCTTTCTCTTTGGATCGGTACATCCGGGGCGCCGCCAGCTGATTGCACAGCAGCTCATCGCGCCGATCGTGCGATTGGCGGACGATCTCTCGCCCGACATCTATTCACAGAGTGACGACAATCCTGCTCCGCACGTTCTCAAGCGGTCATTGGATCCATATCTTCAGTGGACTGCGTGCTTGGAGGAGCCCAGGGACGAAGATACGCTGCTCTCGCGGCAGGAGTATCTGAAGCCGTACGATATCATCCCTCACGCCTTCTATCTGAGGGCAGATGAAGTGCTGATCGACGACGACGACGAAGAGGACGAAGACGAGGAAACATCGGAGGAGGGAAGCTATAGCGAATATAGCGAGGGCGAGCTGAGTGAAGAAGAAGAGGAGGAAGAAGAAACCGGATCTGAGTGGGAAGCCTTGCCGGAGGAAGCGACGCGCACGGGAACAGAGGCGGAAGATCAGGAAGCGACGCGAAGGCACAAAGAAATTGCCACCGGGAAGCGCCAGCTGGAGTTCGCCAACAAAGCCAGCCTGCGCATCGGTAATGATCTGACCAGAGATCCAGAGCCACCAAAGCTCGAAGATGGCGACCCCGCAGCTGCCACCTCAAGTACCGCGTGACGGAGACGGAGCCGATCCCCCTCCTCCTCCAGCCCCACCCGTCCCCCAGTTCGCCCACGTACCGATGCGGGCGATAGGCCTTCGTCCTCGGATGCTATCCCGCCGACCCCTTGATTTTCTCACCCTCGAACAGATCCGCACCCCTGTCACCTTCCCTCCCCATCCCTTCCTCCCCCATCTCTTCTGCGACTTCTACTCTACCCGCCTACTCGCTATCGTCTACCCCCACGCATCCCTTCAACCCGCTGCCCCCACGTTCTGCTGGCATATCCTGCTGTYCAGCGCTGCCTGGGAACGATGCAACGTGGTAGAAGTCTATTGCGTAGCCACGGGGACAATCCCCGCCTGTCGCCACTACGAGTTCTTTCGAGCGGCGCTTTTCTGCACCCTCTCCTCCTTCTATCGTGACTATCTCGCTTCCCTCCCTCGCAGCGGCCATCACTTCCCCCACTTCCACCGGATCATCCGATATTTGGAGCTTCCGGTGACGATGCAAGGGATGAATCGCTTCCTACCCCCACTTCCTCCCCGTCGTCCCCGTGAAATCCCCTCCACGTACCGCCTCTATTGGCCAATTCCAACTAGGAGGTAGATCCCGTGACTATCTCTTTTCCT